ACCCTTGCAGGTAGGCTCACTAGGAGGTGGGTCTGGTTCTTTGTTTTGTTAGGGACCCAAGCCCCCTCGCAGGGGCTCCAAGAAGTAGGGGCTGAGGCAGGAAGAATGCCAATCCCAGATGCGCAGCCCCTAGAGCTTGGAGCTCCCTCCTGTCTGCCTAGTCCCTCTGAGTCCTGCTGGACACCCCCCTCTCCCCTGCTTCTACCCCCCCGCAGCTGGGGCGCATTGGGGCGCAGGACGCGGCGCGGGTGGGTACCTTGGTGCCCTGGTGGAAGTCGTCGACGGACCGCGAGCCCATGAAGGGGAACTGCATGTGCGTGTGCGTGTCGATGCCGCCGGGCAGCACCAGCTTGCCGCGGGCATCCAGGACCCGGAGCCCCGCGGGCGCGTCCCCGGGCGGCAGCAGGTTGGGCCCGAGCGCCCGCACCACGCCGCCCTCCACCAGCACGTCGGCCACCTGCGAGAAGTCGTCGTTGACCACGCGACCCCCGCGGATCAGGAGCCGCGACGGCGCCTCCATGGCGAGGGGACTGCGCTGGGGTAGCCCTCCGACAAGGTCCCGGAGAGCAGACGCCAAGGACAGCGGGCCACGGCCTGGGGGCGGGCCGGGTTTAAGAGCCCAGGACTGGGGCAGCTCCACCTCCAGTGGGCTGGGCCGGAGAGGTGCGCACACAGGTCAGGGGAAAGGAACCCTGGGGTGAGAAAGTTTACTTTCCGTCTTGAGGAAAAACGTTTTATCCCTTCCCTTGGCAGAGAGGGTGGAAGAGGAACGGGAGGCGTGGAGAGAGACATCATCGGGAGCCACAGCGGAAATGCCCAGACCTACTGGTCTGGACGACCTTGTAAGCATCCTTCGGTGGGGGACCAATCTTCATGCAGTTTCCCTACCTGGCAATGTGAAAGCTCACGTTTGATCTCCAAGGACCCATTCAGCGCCTGACTGCGAAATGGAAGGTCTTCCGGTGGAACCCACCATTGGAGAGCTTGCTGTGTTTCCACACGACTGGCATCCTTGACTCCCTGTAGTTCTGGTCTGCTGCCCCAGGGGGTCGTTAGGAGTGGGAAGAGACTTCAGAAGCAATGGGTTTTTCTTTCGAAGCAACTATTCACTGGGTTTTAATTAAGCAGTGCATCAGTTTTTCTTGGGTGGGGGAAAAACACACCACCTAGTACCCTAACGTTAAAGATGTGGGGTTTCAGCCCCATCTCTATCATAAAACTAGATTAGAGGTTCTTGGTCAGAGTTGTTTTTCTTCTTGGTTCCTCAGTTTTCTCATAGATAAAGCTGAGATAAGGCTTGGGCTGACCTTCTGCCTAGATCTGCTTTGAGAAGCAAATAGGAGGATGCTCGGGAGCCAGTGTGAGTAGCTCGGGGAAGTGCTCGACAACCACATAACAGACACCTGATTCAGAAGGACTGGTTCTTGGTGGGACTAGAGCGCTAAGTGATGGAGACAAACAATGCTGCCAACCTCACAGAGTCAACAGTGGAGTGGCTCTGAGTCAGCGACTAACCCTACGTACAACAGAATGAAACACTGCCTTGTCAGGCACCATCCTCACAATTGTGGGATATTTGAGCCCATTGTTGCAGCCACTGTGCAAACCCATATACTGTAGGGTCTTCCTCTTTTTTTGCTGTGCCTCTACTTTACCAAGAATAAAGTCCTTTTTCCAGGGACTGGTCTTTCCTGATAACCTGCCCAAAGTACGTGAGACGGTGTCTCACATCCTTGCCTCTAAGAAGCATTCTGGCTCTATTTTCTTCCAAGACAGAATTTGCTTGTTCTTTTGGCAGTCTATGGTACTTTCAATATTCTTCTCTAGCACCACAATTCAGATGCTTCAATTCTACCTTCCTTGTATAATGTACAGGTTTTGCTTGCCTATGAGGCAATTGAACATGGAAAATCCAGGCTTGAGTTAGGTGCACCATTGTCTTCAAAGTAACATCCCTGTTCTTCAACATTTTGAGGAGGTCTTGTGCAGCAGATATACCCAATGCCATACGTCATTTGATCTCTTGACTGCTACTTCCAGGAGCATGACTGTGGATCCAAGCAAGACAAAATCCTTGACAATTAACACCTTGTGTCCATTTATTCCGATGCTACTGACTGATCTAGTTGAGAGGATTTGGGTCTTCCTTCCATTGAGTTGTAACCCATATTGGAGGCTGCAGTCCATGCTCCTCATGAAGCGCTTCAAGTCCTCACTTTCAGCAAGCAAGGTTGTGTCATCTGCACATCGAACATTATCAGTTAGCCTTTCTCCAACCCCAGTGCCACATTCTTCGTACAGTCCAGCTTCTCTGCTTATTTGCTGAATATACAAATTGATTAAGTGTGCTGACAGTATATATCCCTGAAACACACCTTTCTTTTAAACCATGCAATATTCCTTTTTTTCTGTTTGACAACTGCCTCTTGATACATGCACAGGTTCCACATAAATACACTAAAATTCTAGAATACCCCTCCTTCTGAAGGCTATCCATAGTCTGTTATGATCCACACTGTTGGGTGCCTTTGTACAGTCAGTAAAACACAAGTAAACATCTTTTTGGTATTCTCTGCTTTCAACCAAGATCCTTCTGACATCAGCAAAGACAGCCCTTGTTCCACATCCTTTTCTGAATCAGGCCTGGGTTTCTGGAAGCTGATGTACAAATGCAACCACTATTGAATGATACTCAGCTCCCCCTCCCCCTTTTTTTCAACATGAAGGGTGGGGCGAGAAAAAGGCATCCTGGAGAGTGGGCACGGGACGAGTGGAGACCCACAGGAAGAGACGGCAAAGATAGGAGTCTGAGCCCCACTCGGGGAAGTTAGAAGGGCTCCAATGGGACCGAGCCGTAGCTCCGCCTATACTTACATGTCAAAGCAGGAAGCGGAGGGAGAAAATGAGCCATCAGATAGCGGGAAGCTCTGGGATACCAGACAAACATGCAGAATTTTGAGAAGGGTCACAGGACCAAATGCTACATTTGATCCTGGAGTGTGATGAACAATTATTTGAAGCCGAAATTCTGATCAAGGTCTTTGTAAGGAAACACTACTCCCATTTTCAGTGCACCCACCATGGTGGACTCCATGGTCCCTGCAGCTCTAGGACACAGGCATTGTCAGCCATCGCAGAGCATCCTCCCAGCATGGTGACGTGCCAAGTGGTGGGCACATGTTCCAAGGAAAATAGACCTGTTCAGTGAAGACTGATGTCAAACTTTTGTTAAGTTGAACAGACTAGAGACATGCTCTTTCCTGCTGCTCGACTCTCCCACTTCCCTTCCCCCCATCACCCCCTCCCCCCCATACATTGTCATTCAGGTGATTCACAGCAACCCTATGGGTCAGAGGGAGCACTGGTGGCATAGAGAGTTACACATTAGGCTGCTACCACAAGATCAGCAGTTTGAACCCATCCCCTGCTCTGGGAGGGAGATGTGGCTTTTTGCTTCTGTAAAGATTTACAGCCCTGGAATCCCACAAGGGCAGTTCTACTCTGCCTACAGGGTACCTATGAGTCGGAATTGGCTGTTTAGCAATGGGTTTGGTTTCATTAAGGTTCCATAGGGCAAGGAGAGCTATTCTTCAAGATTTCCAAGTTTGTCTTGTTTCTAGGAGCAGGCTACTGTATCTTCTTCCGGTGCAGTGGCTGGTGGCTCAGAACTGCTGACCTTTTAGCCTGGCAACTAGACTCTTCACCTTGACCCAGGGCTCTTTTTCTTGAATCCAGAACAAGAGGCTTCTGGGAGTCATCTAGACAGCACAAGGAAATCGCCTTGCTGAGAACCGAGCGAACCCAAAGAACAGGAAGGACGGCTGGAGACAGATGGCGCTTCTGACACCAACAGGCCTGAATCCCTCCTGCTCTAGATCGTTCACTCAACTTGGGTCTTCTGTCATTTTCAGTAGCCACTTGGCAGTAACTCAGAAGACCCCTTTGTGTTTGGCTGGTCACCTTAGACACAGATTCAGTGGAAGAATGCAAGGTACTGTCAGTATTATTGACAAGTTCCTTCAATCTTCAGATTACACAAACCTCCAATGGTGAAGAATCAGGAAGCAGCAATGCTCTTTCCATAGACGACTGGCAAGCCAGGAAAAATGAACCCGAGAGAGTGACGCAACACAGCCAAAAGCCCATTGTGTGGACTTTTAAGGGGTAATTAGAAGTGTAATGAGAAGCCCTCCTACAAGTGCCCCAGTAAGCACCACCTCACAGAATCAGATTAGCTGTCAGCACTGTGCTGATATTTTTCCTACAGCTGTCCTGTGAAGGATTTCAAAGGGTTTTGTTCTTTTGTTGTTGTTTTTTAATCATGGGCATTTTATATCATGAAATACCCTGGATTACAACACATAACACCCTCCCCACACTCAGTGAACCCGAACCTTTTTTCTGGAAAAGGGTTTGTAGTACAGCAAATGACTCTTTCACAGGGGTCACCTAAGACCATTGGAAAACACATATTTCTGGTGGTCTTAGGAACTGAGACACGGCTCCTCTATCCTTATCCAGGCGGGTCCCCACACATGCAGATACGCCCACATACGAGTACCAGGAGTGAAGACTGTTACCCAGGTGAGTTAGTTAATTGTGCCAGCCTGGCCGATAATCACATGTGGTGCTGGTTGAAAGGCGGAGGGATAAATGGGT